TGATTAAAAAAGGTATTATTATAAAAATAAAATGGAATAAATATAATATAATAATTATTATAATATATTTTTAAATATGATTAATATGATATAAATTAAAAAATAAAATAAATACAAAATAATTAGTTATTATAAAAGTAAGTTAATTTTCTTCAGATTATGATTATGTAAAAATACATAACAATTTGACATAAAAATTTTGATGGAAGAAAGTAAAATTTATGTATAAACAAAATATTGTAGGAGCATGAAATTATATCAAGATGCAGATTCTTCAAGCTTCATTCCATCAAGGGCATCCGTTATACAAGGCAAATGGTCGTCAGTGTGTGTAGCAAACTCTGTTGTGGCATTATTAGAACGAAGTGTTACTTGTCCAAGCTTGTGGACCACTTCAAATTTAGACTGTATACTTGGCACTTGGTGATAAATTATATTGAAACCATAGCTAAAGAAGAAAATAAATACTTGCTTATTGACGACATTCCAAACAACTGTGGCAGTTTTTACTGAACATTTTTCATGGTTTACTAAATGGAGAAAACAAACATCCCATTTTACTCATTATATGATGCACTTGAGAACTTATTTTCCCAAGCATGAAAGCTGTATTTACACAATGGGGAATTCAGAGCCATATTATACAAGTGCTATATTCAAGTGTGAGCAAAAGATACTTTTTCTTTGACCCGCACAGCAGAAGTGATGTTGGGATGCTAAAACCTGATGGAAAGGCCTTGTATAACAATACATAACAGTGTTAGGAATTTATGTGACTTTATTAAACATCTTGCAGCATCTCTAATTTGAAAGGCAAGGTCTGTTTTTGAAATGGCAGTATTTAAGGAAAGCAGTTCTCTTGAGACAAGCAGTGATTCTGATTTCTCAGGGTTTGATCCTGTGTCAGATGGAGAGTTACTGTTGTAAGTTATTTATAGCTGAAGAGGCTATAAAACATGATTCAATGAATGTTCTCTCTGATGTTTCAGATATTAGTAGTATATCTGATGACATATTAAAACAAGTTGACAATGAAGTGGACGAGTTCATTAATGACTTAAACAATAGTTCTACATTTCTAGAGTATATTGACAGTAATGTGTTTGATACAAGCTTTATGTCAGCCACTGAATCACCCACCAGGCAGTGTCAGACCAAATGTAATAATAAGAGTGGGAGTGTGTCTTTTATCCATGATGATGATTATGAAGGTGATGTTGATGAAGATTTTGGTGTTGATGCTGTAAATGCTAAAATTGGTGATTGTGATGATAATTTTAAAGTTGGTGATCATGTTGATGATTTTGAGGTTGATGTTGATGATGATTTTGAGGTTGATGATGTTGATGATGGTTTTGAAGATGATGATGTTAATGATGTGAGTTATGTAGATACAGAAAATTGTGAATCTGATGATTCAAGTGATATGTCATTTGAAAGTGACGACAATATCCCTTTAACTTCTCTTAGAAAAAAACAGTCTGACTTGATTGATGAAAATGTTTCAAAAAAATCCCAATCCACTCCACTTAGTCCAATATCTGAAAACATTCAGGCTGCTCAGTCCCAATCCAATAAATTAAGTGTTCTTGAGCGAATGGAAAATTTTGATGAAAGTATAGGTGTTAGGTCTAGGAAAGCGAAAAAGAGAACCAGAAAAAATGGAAAAGAAATGTTGCTAAGTCACATCGAAATAAAGGGAAAAGCTACTGCTGCAAAATGGGTAAGGTAAGATCTGCTAGAGTTATTAAAAAGAGTTGTGGTGTGAAATGTAGATATAAATGCTCAAATAAATTTACAGAGTCGGACAGAGAAACCCTTTTTCATTCCTTTTGGAAATTGGGCTCAATAGATAAACAAAGACACTTTCTGAGTTGCCATGCTCAACAGAAACCAACAAAACGCAAAGCAAGTGTCTCCAATAGACGAAAATCTACAATAACCTGGTCAATGCCTAAAACTGAAGGTGGTGGTAAGATACAGGTTTGTAAAACATTTTTCTTGAATACCTTAGGAATAAGTGATAAAATGATAACAACTGTACACAAGAAATTAAATCAAATAGGTGTTTGCAATGAAGATGAGAGGGGTAAGTATTTAAATAGACCAAACACAATTCCTGAAGCAAGTGTTCAAAAGGTAAGAGATCACATAAACTCGTTTGAAACTGTGGAGAGCCACTATTGCAGGCGAAATTCAAAAATGTTGTATCTACCTGCTGGTCTTAGTTTACCTAAGATGTATTCACTGTATGTACAATTGTGTTCCTTAGAGGCAGCTGAACCTGTAAAATTGTCATTCTACAGATTTATTTTTAACACAGAGTTCAATCTTTCTTTTCATCGGCCTAAGAAAGACCAGTGTGATATTTGCCAAACAATTGAAAATTCTCTGCCTGAAGAGAAAGAAACTTTGAAATTTCAATATGAAAAACATGTAATAAATAAGTCAAAAGCAAGAGAACACAAGGAAGCAGACAAAAAAAAGGTAAAAAGTCAAAACTTCCCAGATTATGTTGTAGCCTGTTTTGACTTGGAGGAAATTCTTCTAACCCCTCAATCATTCCAATCTTGTTTGTACTACAAGAGAAGACTAAGTACATTAAATTTTACCATCTATGACATGGGTTCTGCAAATGGTCATTGCTTTGTTTGGAATGAGTCAATTGCAAGCAGAGGGGCATGTGAAATTGCTTCTTGCCTCTTTCATTTCATAAAGCAAAAGTCAGAAGAAGGCAAGAAAAATTTCATCTTCTACAGTGATAACTGTGCTGCACAAAACAAAAATAAATTTTATATTGGTATGTTATGGTACTGTCTCAAAAAATTTAACCTCAAATCCATAACTCATAAATATCTTGAAAAGGGACATACACAGAATGAGGGAGACTCAATCCATGCCACAATTGAAAATGCAAGTAAAAATATTTCAGTTTATTCAACATCCCAGTGGGCAGCCATTATACGAAGTGCAAGGCCTGGGAAGCCATACTTTGTAAATGAAATGAGTTTGGCAGACTTTTTTGATTTTAAAAGTCTTGCATCAAAAAATCAAGAACTTTCATTTTAACACTGAAAAATGAAAAAATTTACTGGGGGTCAATTAAAGTATTGAATCTCTCAATTCATGCCCCAAATCAGTTCAGCTACCAATGTGACTATGATGTGAAATATTCCATTGTGATTTGTTTCATAAATCTCGTCAGACTCCTCCAAGTCCATTGTCTATTAAGTTAGAACAACTAAGAGAGAACTTCATACCTATCCCACAGGCTAAATATGCAGATCTTTTGTTCCTTTGCAAAAAACAGATCATTCCAAGGGTACATCATCCTTTTTACATACTTCTGCCTTATGTATAGTTATAACTGACTGAAAAATAGTCAGTTTTTGCATGTTAGACTAAGAAAAACAAACATGCTGAAGCCTAGGGAATTATCCCAACTGTAATAATTGTGTCTATAGTATGTTGACTTTTATTGCAAATGTTCAAATGTTTTAGTTAACATTGTCTTGGTATTGCAATTTCTTATTCACATAATTGCTTAACTAAAATGTTAATGTTCAATTTTATTCAATTTTATTATAGACTGTAATACAATATTTTACTTTTAAAAACAGACTATACAAAATTGTTAATGTTATTATCTTGCATACTGTAGTGAAAATTTGTATTTTGGTAGCTAACATGTAACATAGGAAAGTAAAATGTATACTCATGCCTCATAAAATTATTTCGGCAATACCCACAGTTCCAAGATATTCAGTATAAACAATCTTGAGGGCTGCCTCAACTCAGAGGTTTTTGCTATTTTCACCAATGTGGCCCAAATACAGGTGAGAAATATTGTTATTCAATTTAGATGTAACAGGAAAAAGTTACCAATTTCATTGTATGAGGCACCAATATGTAAATGGAAAAATGCTTTAATATAAATTTCATTTGTAGCAAAACACAAAAAGCCCAGCTATCATTTTTTAAATGTTAAGACTAATGTGTTCTATATATTTTTGCAACGTTAAGTGTTCATTAGTTACTTAAAATCTGTATCATGTTTAATTTGTCTTGTTGTTGTGCATGACCAATAATTAGACAGAAAATAGTTTCAATGTTGTTCCAGAGTTTGATTATTTTTAATGAAATACATGAGTAATACTCAGGAAATTTCAAGGTTATTTTGTTTGTGAATTTGTTAATGAATTTTTTTTAAAAAATGTATACAGCCAAATAAGGACAATAAATAGAAAATTGTATATCTGATGTATTTTCATATATGTAAGCCTTATATATTTGAATTTAACAAAATATAAACAACACTGAATATTTATTTATTAAAAATCAACAACATGGGCATTTTTTAAAACATAATGTCAGATAAGGTTGACAGAAATTACCAAAAAAAAATAAGATACAACCGTTTCGCACCAATATTTTTTTTTCATATAAGGTAAATGTTAGTGCGAAACGGTTGTAACTAAAACTTTATCAAATTTCCTTTTTGTAAATAATGATATAAATTTTATTTCTATTTGAATTAAAATCATCTATTATACTGTATAAGCTATCCTTGCAGTAAAAACAATAAATTTAAATATGAAAAAAATAAAAGGTTTTTTGTCTCTCCTGAATAATTTACAAATATTGAGTTACAACCCTTTCGCACCAAGGTGACGAAATGCTCTTCAAAATGGGGGACGATGTTTAACAATCAGTTTGTTATATGTAAATCTGTTCGCTATAAAAACTCCCGATACAAGGAACTAATTCGCTATATGCTTACAAGGAACTCCGGATATAAGGGACAGATGTCCCAATGAGTTCGTTATTAGCGGAGTTTACTGTATGTCCAAGATAGAAACACTGTACTGTAAAATATATTAGAATTATTTGAAGAATAATTTGTTAAACCTTGCTCCATCAGACCGTTATGCTGTTTTCTTACATGTATGATAAACTTTAGCTTGTACTTTAATTTTAAAATTATTATAATTTTTTTTCAGAGTTTTAACATCCACATTAATGGCGTGTTTCATTGCACAGCAAGGTTTAGTTTGCTGTACAGTTTTCATGATCAGGTATGAAATTGTAATGTTTTGGCAATAATATCTTTAAATTTAATAACACTTGTCTATTTGATAATAGTTCCATTAGATTGAGTATGTAACATGCGTCATCATACTGAAGGTTTTTACTTGAAATTTCTCAGTCTAATTAATTATTATAATAGCACTGACTATTTGACAGAAAGTGGGACTTTCTTACTCGTCGGTCTGTAGCATTTGATCATAGTTCTGTTAGATTGAGTATGTACTATTGTGCAAGTGTCATCATATGAAATTTCTCACATGACTTAGGGATCATCATTGTATGGCAAAGATCAAAGTATTCCATGGATTTTAACTGAATTATGTATACTATTTTGAACTTGAAAAAAACTTCTTTTACTAAAATATTTCATGTAAGAGCTACCTAGTACCTACTGGCGCTTGATTTACTGTCCATACTAAGGAAAGCTGAGTGCTCTGACAGACTGAAAGGTCCTGTTTAAATCATATATTCTATTATTTTAGATCTTAAATAATATCTTTCGTATTTTAGTTAAAGAAAGAGTTTGGAGCCAATTCCCTGCCACCATTCCCACCAAAAAAAGTTGTTTCCCAAAAGCTTTGGGCCAAAAAATGGAATTTAAAGACGGATTTTAAAGTTAGAAAGATTATACAAATTTTGGGGATTTTATTTTTTTTTTTGGGATTGTTATAAAATTTTTTTTTGGGCCCGCCCCGGGTGGGGGGTTAAGGTCTTTGACTTCAAGCCCCAAGCTCCTCACTGCTGTAGGTTTGAATCAGCCTAGGTTTTTTGGAATGAGAAGCTATCCAGCTAGCTTACCAAGCGTTGGTGGTTCTACTCAGAGGCCTGTTGGAATCTCCAAAATTACTGAATAGAATAGGTTGAAACTTCACACATTTACAAAAGAACATAAAATGAGGTCATTGTCCAAGGCCCATTACTCGGATATTTTGTGAGAATAACGGCCCTTGTGACTTGTCAGTAAATTCTACATTATTAAGGCTCTTATTTTACTATCAAGCTCTTAGAATAGTTGAGCTGGCTGTCCTATCGATACATGTAGCTCTTGCAAGGTTGTGTATTTTAGAAATGTTCAGGTAACTATATAAGTATGATGTAATTTACTGTAAGCATTATTATAACTTAAGGTTTAAAGTTTCTATGCTGTAACTCAGTGAGAGCAAAAACTTTTAAATTGTACAGATGTTGTTAGGGGCAATATTGTTGGATAGAGCGTACCTTTAATAATTATTAGAAAAGAATAGAAACAAGAAAGATCATTGACTTTGTTCTGCTTTGGGTTGCCTTAGTTGTTGCCTTATATCAGATATTGTGCCATTTACTGATGGAAAGGCAATTATGATATCATGCTAGGTAAACAAACAGGCAGTTTGGAATCCCAAACTTGAAGATGGAGTTATACCTTTGACCTTATAATTCTTTTTATGCCCCTACAAAGTGGGAGCATATACATGTAGTGTTGCACTTGTCCGTCCGTCCATACGTCCCAAAATCTTGTGAACGCAACTCCTCTTAAACCGGATGGCAGATTTTGCTTAAACTTCCCGGGATGAACAACCTTAATGTGTAGATGGTAGTAAAGGAAGGAATTTTCGCTGCGACCAAATTTAACAGAATTATGGCCCTTTGTTGATTTTTTTCACTAAATATACTATGTAGAAATTTTGTGAACGCAACTCCTCTTATACCGGATGGCAGATTTTGCTTAAACTTCCAGGGATGAACAACCGTAATGTGTAGATGGCAGTAAAGGAAGGAATTTTTGCTGCGACCAAATTTAACAGAATTATGGCCCTTTGTTGATTTTTTTCACTATATACTATGTGGAAATTTTTGAACGCAACTCCTCTTAAACAAGATGGCAGATTTTGCTTAAACTTCCAGGGATGAACAACCTTAATGTGTAGATGGCAGTAAAGGAAGGAATTTTTGCTGCGACAAAATTTAACAGAATTATGGCCCTTTGTTGATTTTTAGTTTTCAACTTGTGGCACATGTAGTGAAAAAAAATATTTGACCTAGAGTCATAAGATTGACAGAACAGTGGCTTGTGGGGGCATCCGTGGCCTATGGACACATTTCTAGTTTTTCTTCAATTTCATATGTATATGTCTATGTCATAATGGTGTTAATTGAAAACTCAAGATCTGTTTAATGTTAATGGATGGGTCCAACTTTTTGATTAGGGATTTAATGTGGGTATTATTTTCTTGTATTTTCAGTGAGTCAAGAGGCAGCAATTGCCAATAGTGATGTGTTCAATAGCTTTTTGTTAACAGCGCAACAGGTTTGTAATGTGTTTTCTGTGCCCCCACTTAGGGGGGACATTTAGATTTACCCTTGTTCATCCGGCCTTCCATCTGTCTGTTGTTCTCATGTTGTGTCGCATGTCACTCAAAATGAATTGTGTTTTTTTGTTGTTGTTGTTGTTTTTTATCATCTGTTTATAATAGTATTTCATACAAACGATGTGAAGCTATGTGTATTTTTAGTTAACCATTTGAAGAAATGTGGAGCTTAACTACCCACTCATTTGCTCTTTGATAAAAGTTTTGCATCTGCAAAACAATTGAGAGTATATGCTTGAAAATTAACACTTCTTCAAGATTGTATTTTTAGGTCGCTGTCCAAGACACATTTCTCTGGGATGTAATTTGACTGAATTATTGCCCTTTATGTAAATTTCTAATAAATCATTATCCAAGGCCCCGAATTCTAGCTTTAATTGTTATTGCATTATTGCCCTTTGTTATCTAAGAAAAGTTTTTGTTAAAGTTGTATATGCAAGATAAATATATTGAAGGACTAAAGATATTCTTTAGAACTATAAAAATGTGCTTTAAAATATGTTTATTAAAGATACAAGTTTTGCTGTGAGTTTCAAAAATCTGTCAAGGGGAATAATCTGCCCATCAATGATAAAATAGGAGAAAGTCTGTATTTTATAAAAGAGACAAATAAAAAAAACAATGTCAAAAGCCATATTGATTAACAGATATGAAATCGAAGAATTTTTACTCTCTGATTTAGGAGACGCAGAAAGAACAGCCAGAGAATGTGAGTCTAGATATTTACTTAATGAATGGTCACAAGATATCAGTGAATATCATCTCCACAGACCAGACAGAAGACGTGCTAGAGGTACAAAGCAGGTTTTGATTAAATGGGGGGGGGGGGAGGGGTGGGGAGGTGGGGGAGAGGCACGTGCTGGAGGTACATGTTTTGTTTTTGTTTTTGTTGGATTTTATGTCGCACAAACTCTGTATAGGTCGTACGCGCTCTTTTCCAGTTTTACTGGTGGAGGAAGACCTCCGAAGGTAAATGTTTGATTTTTTGGGGAGCAGGGAGGGTTTACAAGGCACAAACATTGTATAGGTCATATGATGACTTGCCAGCTTTACTGGTGAAGGAAGACTTCAAGTGCCCTTCCGTGCATTATTTTATACACAAATGGGCACCTGAGTAGAACCTACAATGTATATATATGTTTACAGTAGTTTATTCCATTGATTGAGGTGTTATGTTTAAAGTGGCCTTCAGCTTTTGTTTTTATTTTGAAAACAATTCAGTGTTGTTTCAAACTAAGCATTTCAATAATTTATTCTTGGAAAAGTGCATCATATATTTCTGTGAAACCTTATTCAAAACAGTATCCGAAGAGTTATTTATAGCTCGGCACTGATGTTTGTTTCTAAGAATAGAAAATCAGGAAACTAATTGTCCGCTTTAATAATTTACATATAGAGAATGGACTGATAGATTAGATTTATTGAGGGGTTTCTTTATTGTTTATGTATTTTATCGACAACAATTTTCAGTTTTACGCCTACATTCTTTTGACTTGACAATTATATGAAGCGATTTATCTTAAAATTACATATTTATTCTTTACAAAAGCAGAAGGCTGCTTTACAAAGCATGCAACAATCTGAGTATCGAGGGTTGACTGCAAAATTTTTGTTAACTTATATGAAATAAAGAAGAACTTACAACAGTTTTGCAGTCAACCCTCGATATCCAGATATGTCTGATACAGTGGAAGAGATATAAATATCGCAAGATTTGGCATAAAATCACATCTTTTTGTTTTGATATTTTTCAGACTGTCGCCTCCCAGATAGATTTACCGGATGATTTTGTGTATTATTTTGGTCTATACTTGGTAAAGAAGGAGGGGGAGGCCGAGACTTCTAGTAAGATTTTGTTTTCTTGCCCGCACAGATATTTTCACTTGCTTTCTCTTATGAAAGTAATTGGTTTAATGTTAAACTATCATAAATGAAATTACCTTTACTGACAGAGTAAACTCTCTTTGATTAGCTCTTTTTGTAAGGGATATTTTTGTCTTTTGGAAAATAAAAATCTTTCAGATACATATCCTGTATAAGTGGATATTTCTGCATGTCGAAAAGTTAGCAAATTCAAGATTTCAGACATTTTGCATCAGGAAGTATTTGGGAATAATAGAAAGGTAGAATTTAATGACGGGTTGGTTGTTATTTACTGAGCATTTAAGATCTTAAGATTAAGATGTCGCAGAAAGGATTGTGAATCATGCTTACAGGAATTAACATGAGTGAACGTGTTATGGATTATTTTTGAATACATGATTTTTAGACACACTAAAGGTTTTTTTCAGTATTAAATAGGGGTGTGGATCATCGGATAAGTGACAATCTGATCCGATCCACGATTCAGCACTTACGATTCACAAATCGAACCACAGATCTTTTGTTATATAAACAAATAAGATCGCGATCCACGATCTCTGAGCTTACGAATATTCAAACTCGATTTTTCACTTGATTCGTGATTATCCGAGTACTCGGATACTCGCCCCAGCCCTAGTATTAAAGCATCAAAAAATGCTGAAGGATGCTTAAATATATATTGTTTTTCTTATTGTATATTGATATTTTTAATTGAGATATTTTGTTTTATCATTTCAGTTGTGAGAAAGCTTCAAGATTTTGAGTCCCCATCAATATCATTAAAGTCAGCCAATGTTAAAGGTGTTCATAGAATAGTCCTCAGGAAAAGGTAAATAAGTGACTTTATGAATGATATGTTTTGGAAGTGTCTTCAAATAACATGAACTTTCTACAATGCAACCTGTGCAAATAGTATAGAGTCAGGTCAGCATTTACCTCTGTGCTTTCAGGGCCGTCAATCCAATTTGGGGAAAGTGGGTTGCTACCCTCAGCAGGATATTTCAGTGTATGTGGTAATTTTTTGGTCCACCTTTTGAATATCAGTGTTTTTTTTTCCCGATACAACTTGCTGTTGTGAAACATTTTGAGAACGAAAGTCTTCCCATGCATCCGTACAAATATCGAACCATGTGAAACGGAAAACAGTTCCGCTGACAATGATGCTGTGAAACAGATTGATTTTACTTGTCAAAAAACAGCATAACTTTCTGATTTTTTCAGTTGGATTTATAATTATGTTTTGAGGGGGGATTTTTACTTCTATTAGGGGGAAAACTATACAATTTTGCTGGGGGACTGCAGCTGATATTCGATCGCTGATTTGGTAGATCAAGGGCCCTGGCTTTATTTCTCAAGCCTCTGTTAAGAGTTAGAATTTAAATTTTGAAATTCCATTAGTTAACAATGGACATTTGCAATTTCAAAGTAGAGCATGTCCTTTAGGTAGCAGTTTAAAATTAGATTTATTAGATATTTGGAGTTAGGTTTTAGTTAAAGGACAAACATAAATTTTATAACGTTTTACTACTAGTTTAAGAGCATATTAGATGCTTGTTACCTGAAGAATGTACATGTATATTTTACTTAAAAAGTATTTTAGCCTGTATCAAATATATAAAAAGTAAATATTTTATATTTTACAGTTACTGGGATGCTTCGTTTGATGATGAATTACTTGCCAATAAAGTTGCCATGAATCTGCTGTATGTTCAGGTAGACTTATTTTTAAATACTGATAATTTTAGTTTTATTACATTACATGTGCTTTTGTTTGGAAAAGTTGGTGGTTCTACTCTGTTGCCTGTTAGTGCCTGAAATAATGCATGGAAGGGCACCTGAGGTCTTTCTCCCCAGTAAAGCTGGAACGTTGCCATATGACCTATACTGTGTCGGTGTGACGTAAAACCCAATCAAACAAACAAACATGTGCTTTTGTTTGAAAAAATTGGTGGTTCTACTCAGGTGCCCGTTCGTGCCTGAAATAATGCACGGAAGAGCACCTGAGGTCTTCCTCCCCAGTACAGCTGGAACGTTGCCATATGACCTATACTGTGTCTGTGTTATGTAAAACCCAATCACACAAACAAACAAACAAATTGTTTGGAAAATAAACATAGATATCTTTCATACAAGGTCTCTCACCCTAGTCTTTCTCATGCTTGAATAAATTAATAAAGGGGCATGTGGGATTAAAGTGTTAAAAGTGCACTGTGACTTTGACCTGTTTCATTGTTACTTACTATTACACTTAACCACTACTAGAGAAGTGACCAGAAAGGCAATACATCTCCTCATCTTATATAGCAAGTAAAAATTGTGCAGGCTCTTGGAATAAAGAAATATACCTGCATATTGTAATTACATTAAATACGTGTGTTTTATAGGCTGTCAGTGATATTGAGAGACAATGGGTGCTAGTAACAAAGGATCAGAAAGAGCATCTCAAATCATTACAACAAAAAGGATCAAAACGAGAGGTAAGACAGAGAGGTTTCCTCTCAGACTGGAAGGTTTGTAAGAGGTTTGCCTCTCCGATAAGCTTGGTTATGTCTCAGGGAAGCTTGAGTTGTTTACATATGTGTGAAAAAAACTCAAATGAGTCATGTCTAAGGTAAACAATAATATAAGGTTATTATACATCCCCAAATAAAGAAATGAAGTTTAAGTGGGTATTTAGAAATCACCTTGTCTATGGATTGGTCTACTTCATGGTTTGGAATGGGTAATAATCAAACTTTGAATATTGCAGTTTGGACCCATTGGGTTCAAGGTCATAGTCACTGTTACTAAAAAACAGAAAATGGTTTTCGGACAATAACTAGAGATAACTGGTTGGGATTGTTTTTTCCTCCTGAGCTCAAGGTCAAGGTCACTGTTACTTAAAATAGAAAAATGGTTTTCAAGACAATAACTAGAGTTAGGAATGAGATATTGTAAACAAACTTAAGTATGTAGCAAGTTTAGATGAAGACCCAAGTTAGGATAGCTTTTGGACCCCTGGGTTCAAATTCAAGGTCACTGTAACTAAAAATAGAAAAATGGTTTCTGGACAATAGCTAGAGTAAGGAATCATAATTGAGTTGTAAGTTTCATTTTGCAATGTGTAACTTACCATCTTTGTTCGCTTCACAATATTTGACTTTTAAATACATTTTCAAAATTTTTTTTCATGAAAATATGCATAAATCTTAATGTGTGCTGTTTTAATTTTGATTAATTTTCAATCATGCTCAATGTTTCTTAGACTATTACTTATATACAGTCAACAACCATTATCTCAATTTCTAGATTTTTCGTTATTTCAATCAAATATTTAAAGGCCCGTTTTTTCCCCTTCTGTAGCTACATTTGTATATAAGATATATTAATTGATCTCTACTTTTGTACCTCAATTTTTTACGGTCCCCATGACTTCAAGATAACGAGAGTGGACTGTATATATTCCTTATATATTTTTCTTCATTTCAGTTTCTAAGATTAGCAAGAACATTAAAGCATTATGGGTATATTCAGTTTCATTCATGTACAGTGGATTATCCCCAGCCTCATACACGGGTGATCATTGCTGCTGGTAACAAAGAATTAAACTTCAGAATATTTGTGAAACCGGTAAGTTTACGATGCCAGAATTTGGCATTTAAAGGCACTCAACTGGTTTTTTTTTTGACAAGGCGGGTCTGGAATTTTTTTTTTTTTGAGATTATTACTCAATTTGATGTAAGTCTATACCAACAACTTATGTGCACCGATTCCACACAGTTTTTATGCCCTCACAATGTGGGTGCATATAGCGTTGCACTTGTCCGTCCGTCCGTCAGTCTGTCCGTACGTCCCAAAATCTTGTGAACGCAACTCCTCTTAAACTGAATGGCAGATTTTGCTTAAACTTACAGGGATGAACAACCTTAATGTGTAGATGGTAGTAAAGGAAGGAATTTTCGCTGCGACCAAATTTAACAGAGTTATGGCCCTTTGTTGATTTTTTCACTAGATACTATGTAGAAATTTTGTGAACGCAACTCCTCTTAAACCGGTTGGCAGATTTTGCTTAAACTTACAGGGATGAACAACCTTAATGTGTAGATGTAGTAAAGGAAGGAATTTTTGCTGCAACCAAATTTAACAGAATTATGGCCCTTTTGTTGATTTTTCACTATATACTATGTAGAAATTTTTGTGAAACGCAAACTCCTCTTAAACCGGATGGCAGATTTTGCTTTAACTTACAGGGATGAACAACCTTAAGGTGTAGATGGTAGTAAAGGAAGGAATTTTTGCTGCGACCAGATTTAACAGAATTATGGCCCTTTGTTGATTTTTTCACTATATACTATGTAGAAATGTTGTGAATGCAACTCCTCTTAAACCGGATGGCAGATTTTGCTTAAACTTACAGGGATGAACAACCTTAAGGTGTAGATGGTAGTAAAGGAAGGAATTTTTGCTGCGACCAATTTTAACAGAATTATGGCCCTTTGTTGATTTTTAGTTTTCACTTTGTGGCATGTAGTTCAAAAAATATTTGACCTAGAGTCATAAGATTGACAGAACAGTGGCGTGTGGGGGCATCCGTGTCCTATGGACACATTTCTAGTTTCCAGAATAATTATTCTAGTTCTAAATAATGACCTAATATTGAACGTTTTTCACTCTAATAGGACTGAGAATAGCACAAACATATGATTTTTAATGTATTTTTGAGTATATGTTTTAGTTATCTGTATATATTTCTGTTTTATGTGCCCCAGTTGATGTATGTGAAAAAAAAATTTTTTTTATGTTTTTAGACTTTTTGACCTCAGTTGAGTTCTTTTAAATCTAAAAACTTATAAGTGTGTGATGTCAGAATTTGCCATATTAATCTGGATACCCAGTAAGCTTGTATTGCCACAGAATTTGCCAATTTAATTATGTGACGTCAGAATTTGCCATTTTAAATTGGTGATGTCAGAATTTGACATATTAAGCTTGTGCTGTCAGAATTATGGGTTAACACTGGCTAAGTTTTGCTTGCAAGTTGGTTTTTCCTAAACTGTTGAAGGAAATGGCTTGAAAGTCCACACACTTAAATGGCAGCATAATAGAAGGTCACTGTTTAAGGCCCATAAATCTGACATGGATTTTTGACAGACTTATGACTCTTTTTGAATTGAGAAAATTCTGCATTATCAAGGCTATTGTTTAATTATCAAGCACGGAGAAAATTCAAGCACACAGTCCTCCCAACAGTATTGGTCAGTCAAAAGCTCTGGTTAGTCATAGATTTTTTTGTTTTTCATTTTCAGGATTCATTAAAAGAAGCTGTGTTCAAAATAACAAGAATAAGATGCTGGAGAATAACTACGACAGTATGTATATGTAATGTATTATATATTATAAACCCCTAATTTTGTTGAATTTTTGCATAATGGACTTGTCTTGCTTTGAATTTGGAACAGGCCAATAGAAGTTAGAGGAAGTACATGGTTGATGTTGGAATTGAAAAAGGTTTATCTGTTAAGCGAGAAAGTGTATGTTGGCGTGCTTTAGCGAGACAACATTTACTTTTGCAGCAAACTAGATAAACCTCCATCCCAACAACAACCATGTATTTGATTTATCCTGATTTTGTCTAGTTTAATCATGTTTTTAGATTATTTAAATGGTTTCATTCTTACTCAACACCCGCCCTCCCCCCACCCTTCCCCGATATTAAAACAGCGTGTATATGTATTTCTGTTTTGCTGTTAACCATCACATCATAGACTTATCATGTGACGTGATGACTGGTGATAGATAAGTTTAGCCAGCAAGGCTTTAACCAGCTGATAATATAGACAGTAGCTGGATAAGAAATATTTTAATATATCTCCTGTAGTTATTGAAAAAAAAAATGATAACCCAGCTTGATATTTTCTGTCAGATTTAACAAAGATAATTTCTTTATGTGCGAAATTGGGAAAACTGATGGCAATTTACAGTGTTTAATGTAAAATTCACTCAGATACTTTCATCGTGAGCAGGTTTTATCATTGAGTTACATGTAAAAACCAAAGGCACTGAATTGTCCAATATAGAATGATTTTATTAGATGCTGTCATGCTACAGGGTCCAATATGGGAATATATTGGATAGTCTGAGGGTATAATTTAAAAACAATGAATGGATGAAAACAATGGATATAGAAAAAAGAAAGAAAAACCAATGAAAAACAATTTGGTTAAATTTGTTTTGTCAGAATATTTTATATGATTTAAAAGATATGATTCTTAGTAATTTATCTTCCCAAGATTTTCAAATAATTATTAGCTCACCTGTCACAAAGTGACAGATCACTTTTCGTCCGGCGTCAATCTGGGGTCCGTAAACTTTTACTTTAAATGACATCTCCTCATAAACAACTAAGCCAGTTTCATCCAAACTTCACAGGAATGTTCCTTTGGTGGTCACCTTTAAAAATTGTTCAAAGAATTTAATTCCATGCAGAACTCTGTTTGCCATGGCAACCAAAAGAAAAAACTTTAAATACCTAAAGAGCTAGAGCTTAGATATTTGGCATGAAATATCTTCTAGTAAGTGTCTTCCAAGTTCATTTGAATAAAAGCCCTGGGGTCAAAATTGGCCCCTCCCCGGGGGGTCATTGATTTTCCCTATATGAATATAGTAAAAACTTAAAAATCTTCTTTTAAAGAACCCAAAGAGCTAGAGCTAAGATATTTAGTATGAAACATGTTCTAATGGGTGTCTACCAAATTTGTTCAAATAAGAGCCCTGGGGTCAAAATTGGCCCCGCCCTGGGGGGTCATTGATTTTCCTTATATGTGTGTAGCAAAAACTTAAAAAATCTCCTTTTAAAAAACCAAAATAGCTAGAGTTTAGATATTAAGCATGAAATATCTTCTAGTGAGTGGCTACAAAGTTTGTTCAAATAAAAGCCCTGGGGTCAAAATTGGCCCAGCCCCAGGGGTTCCATTGTTTTTAACTATATGTGTATAGTAAAAACTTAAAAAATCTTCTTTTAAAAAACCCAAAGAGCTAGAGTTTAGATACTCATCATGAAACACCATTGAATAAGTGTCTACCAAGTTTGTTCAAATAAAAACCCTGGGGTAAAAATTGGACCCACCGGGATATAGATATATAGCATGAAACATCTTCTAATGGGTGTCTAACAAGTTTGTTCAAATAAAAGCCCTGGGGTTTAAATTGGCCGTGCCCCGGGGGCCTATAGACATCATGGCCCCTCTTGTTTATTTGTTGGCTACTTTTTTCAGGTAAAAAGCTTGTAATATGCTCTTATACCATTACATGTATTTAAATGTTATAAAACTTATATTTGCCCTTTCTAAGGAAGTAAAAATTTTATCGTTTCTGAGGCATAATAATGTGCCTTTAACATATTTCAGGTAGATGACAACAGCGACAACCCAGATTCCTCAATGTTAGAACTTTCTTTTGAATATTTGATTGCCAAAGATACGTTACAGTGGGTTACCATACAGTCTGAACAAGTAAGTTAAATAAGTAAACAAAAATGAGCAGGGTGATGACAAAACCAACATAATGGGTTTGCGACCAGCATGGATCCAGACCAGCCTGCGCATCCGCACAGTCTGATCAGGATCCATGCTGTTCGCTTACGAACCATATAACAAGACGAGAAACTGATAGCGAACAGCATGGATCCTGATCAGACTGCGCGGATGCGCAGGCTGGTCTGGATCCATGCTGGTCGCAAATCCATTATGTTGGTTTTGTCATGACACGGCTCAAATTTAAATAAGTGAGCGTAAAATTTGAATAATTGTGTTCATACTTGGCCACATCAACCCTTGGGACAAGACCTTCAAGTAGACCAGACTAAACTTGACCTTCTTTCATAAATGACCTTGACCTTCAAGGTCAAAAGTCTAAATTTTTGCTATCATCGATATAACTTTGTAATTATTTCATTGTTCAGTTGAGCTTAATTAGTTATATATTTAAAAGGCTATTATTTCAAAATGATTGACTATATGTAGTTATGTATTATAATGGTCATTAATAAAAAATTATTATTAATGATAAAAAAGGGTGAGGATTAAAATATAAAAACTGCCTAAAATATGACAAGACTGCCCCACTGTTTTTTTTGTTATAAATTGAACACTACAAATACATTCTGAAGGATATTTATCGAATTTTCCATGAGTTACATGTGTTATTATTTATATGAATGAGATTACAAAATTAAGGGTGATTTGATAGTTTTAAAACTTATTTTCGATTACTTATGTTGACCTCAGTATAGACTAAGTGTCATACAGTCAAACCCCGTTTATTCGAAGTGCCTGGGACTGAATATTTACTTCGAATAATCGATGGGTTCGAATAATCGAAATCGGAATATTGTGATAGACGAAAACTACTCCACTTTGACAATCATAGCAAAACTACCTTTTACAACACACTTACTTCCTGTTATCAATTGAGAAAAATAAATATTAAAGAAAAGATGCGTAAAAATTATTGTATTGACATTGAAGACATAAAAACTTGCATTTTATTCTACATCATGTATAGTTTCGTTTTGCGCAAAGCCTTGATAAGGGCGGTGTTGCCACTACTGTATTTACAGCTAAACTCTGATATTTTTGATTAGGATAAATTAGGGCTCTCATGTAGCGTTACAATTAATGAAAAAAATGTTTTGGATGTTTTGACAAATTTACATATACGGTATGCTGTCATCTTCACGCAATAACAGTAACAAATTCGGACACGGTGCATTGCTTTTCATTTTCGGTAATTAAAGTTGATTAAAGAACACACAAAGAGTCATTATCATGATTGTCTAAATTTCACAAGTCGACCGGTAAGCGAGTGGATCTGCGCCAATTAGTCTGGCTTCCAATAATAATTAGGCTGGCTTCGAATAACAGGTGTGAAATTCTTTTATAATTGTAAATTCGGGACCGAAATTTAACTTCGAAAAATAGGAGGTATTCGGATAATGCATTTCGAATAATACGCTCGTATTTATATTGATTTATATAGAGATTAAAACTGGACCGCCGATCTACTTCGGATAATGCCGGGTATTCGAATAAAGGGTTGTCGAATAACCGGGGTCGGACTGTATTTGATGAATTGTCGCATTCACCGAGATGTCTTTCCACAAAATGTCTTGCACCAGATATATTATATTATATAGAGGATATTGATTGAGTGTAAGTTCAATACTGAATTTATTGAACAATTTGAATTCAGTTATATTGTGCGAGTATAATATTATTTTATTCAACAAGTTCAATAAATTCAGTAATAAACCCATACGAATATAATATTCTTTTTATCACATGCACAAAATAAAGACTCTTTGAAGTGAAAAAGAATCAATTTTATTGACTCACCTATAGTGTAAGGCTGACATTTTATCTTCACACTATGTATGTTTAATGCAAATGATGTCACATCAAAATATATACATGGCCATGCAATACCATTTTTACAGAGTTGCAAAAACGGCACAGGGAAGCTACAAATATTTTAGGGGGTGTCCGTGGCCGAGTGGTTAAGGTGGTTGACTTCAAACCACTTGCCCCTCACCTCTGTGGGTTCGAAACCCGACAGGGACTTTGGATTCTTTCATGTGAGGAAGCTATCCAGCTAGCTTACCGAACGTCGGTGGTTCTACTCAGGTACCCATTCGTGCCTGAAATAATGCACTGTAGGGCACCTGAGGACCTCCACCAGTAAAGCTGGAACGTCACAATATGACCTTTACTGTGTCGATGTGACGTAAAACCCAAAACAAACAAACAAAAAACAAATATTTTAGTGGGTTCTGTGTTTTATTTGAAAAGTTTATGTTAATTATAGGCAATATTGATGAGCATGTGTCTGCAAGGAATGGTTGAAGAATTGATCATGAAGAAACAAGGGAAAAAAATAAAAAAGGTAAACCGTCAAATCATTTGCATAAATTGTCTTTCAATGCTATGGATTGTGAATTTGAGCAATGCCAGACTTTGAGACTTACACAAATTGTAATTTAATCACAAATTGTAATTTAATCATAAACGGTCTTAGTTTTTAGCTCTACCTATTCAAAGAATAGGGAGAGCTATTGTACTCACCAAGGCATTGGCTTTACTCTTTAGTTATGTTTTGCGTGCAAGTTGGTGTCTCAAAAACTATGGAAGGGAATGGGTTGAAACTTCATGCACTTATTAGAAAGCATAGTAGGAGGTCATTGTCTAGGGTCCATAAATCTAACATAGATTTTAACAAAACTATGGTCCTTATTGAACTTAGAAAATTCTACATTTTCAAGGTTCTTATGAGAATAGTCCTGCCGACAGCTTTTCTTCACCTTTGAAACTTTCAATATAGAATAAGATAATGAATTGTTTGAAGTTGTTTTTTTTAATGTTAAAGATATATTATGGTCATCCTTGAGTAAAATATTTTAATCAAATCAATGAAATCTTACTGAATATGTCTAATTTGAATAAAAGAATGAATAAACTATGTACAGGAAGCTGCCTTCCTTATTATAGGTCAAGTAGACCCTATTACAGGTCAGGTAAAGTTTGTGTTTACAAAAAAAACTGCGTGTTTTTTTTAATGGCGCTTTAAATTGATATTGTTACCACCTATAGTGTGTAGAATTTTGAACATACATATCTACTTTGTGTGAAGTGAACACGTTTATTTTATATTTACAAAGGGACTATGTAGCAATTATCAATATTTTCCAATACCAAATTTGAACACAGTATATCTTTAAGTGAGCTTGAAGCTTATTCAATGAACCAATTTTGTCTCTACTTCCTTGAACTTGGCAGCTCCAAACAGGATACAGACTTAAGTATGGCTTAACACCACAATGTTTGTAACACAAAGATGTAATTACTTCAGGATATCAATTTTCACATGCATATGTCCTAACAAACAAATAAATTTAATAGTTAAGACCGCCGAACTGAAAAATTGTTTCCCTGAAGCTGTGATTGTAACTTGAAGTAATTTTGTATTTTATTTCTAGCCATCTGATAGAGTAAGAAGAGGGAAGAAAAGCTTTGCACGAGAAAATAGTATCCCGTCAGGTTTGGTGCAGTCGCCCAGTTCTGAGGTAATGTTAACACTTGTAAAACCTTTTCTTACACACATTTTTTTCCTGACATTAACCCTTAACCTGCTGGTTAAGAGGCAGGCCAGTCTGCGTAGTCCGAGCAGTCTGATCAAGCTTATACCTGTTGGCCGATTGCTGTATAACCGGGTATTTCTGCGTGTCGAAAATTTAGCGGATATAAAATTTTTGGACATTTCGCATGAGGAGATATTAACTAATCATGCAAAGGTAGAATTTAAAGACCAGTTGGTTGATTTGATATTCACACTAGAGGAAATTTGAGCGTTTTGACAATAATTCTGAGTTGCTAACTAAACCACTGATCCACAAATTTACCCGATAACCCTAAAGTTTCAAAATGAAGAGCAGGAAAAGCAGGTTGAGGGTTAAACAAGATATAAGTTATATTCACTCAAGCCAACGTAAGATCCTAGATTCAAATAAATGTAATTATATAAATACCCAGTGTGTATCATTTCCCTAGTGCAGTAACAGGTTAACTCCTTATATAGTTAAATATGAGTTAGAATGTTACTGCACTATGGTGATGCTTTGTCTTTCCATTTACATTACAACCTTTCCTTTGCACAAAAATATTATATATTGTCTAAAATATTGCAAATAACCCTGTTTTTATCATTGTATTATGCCTTATATTTATCATAATATCCTGTTGAACATTCCTTGGGTAACACGAATGTTGGCCTCTGTTGACTAGTAGCTTCTTACCACCTGCAACATTTCCTTGTAGCTAAGATTCCCACCATTCCTGCCATAGGGATGGTGTTTTTTTCCTGTGAGGAAGCTACGTAGCTAACTTATTTATAGGACCCTGGTTTTACTAAAATACTCACTAGTTTCTGAATTGATGCATTGAGGGGCCGACCTGATCCTCATTCAGCAGTGAAGCAGTAAATTTAAAATTTCTAGAAACTGTACGGGGGATGAATTAAAAGACAAAGACCAAAAGTTTAAATAAGAAATTTTCTGATTCTTACTACAATCAGATCATTCAGTTACATTCAAGTGAAACCTATCATTGGACAATCCTGTTAGATATGTTTAAAGGGACTTCACTGAGGTTGTTGAATATGACTGGCCTGAAAATAAAATTTTTGATATTAATGTTTGATTTGATGTAAGTCTAAGCCAAAAACATGTGCAAAATTTTGGATCATTTACTAAGTAATAGCTATTCTTATTGCGAAAAAATGACCCAAAAATGAAATGTTTTGCAATGCTTTTTATTCAAAATCAGGCACAAAATTTAATTTTGCAAAAGCACAAGCACAAAAGCACAAAATTTAATTTGCAATTTAACATTGAGTATATTTCTTAATTATTTTTTACATATCTTGCTGATTTAGTGCCATGCTGATGTATATAAGAAATTCAAGTTTTACTTTTTTAGGCTTTTGAACCTCAGTGGAGTTCCTTTAATGTTCTGTTACATTTCTTTTACTTCCTGTTCAATTTAGGTCCTACTTTCCTTGACTTTCCTGTGTAAATATATATTTATTGAATACCTTGAAACAATCATTCAAGGCTTGTCCTGTAAAAGCTATATATTGTATATTTTTAACCATTCATCCATTAAATATATTCAATATCCAGCTACCATTCACATATTTTAACCTCCCTGTCACAATCCATATATTGTATATCCTGTTACAGAAAGAAGAAAAAACCCACCTACCTGTCACAACAAGGCACTTGAATAAAACTGTGTCTAAAATGCAAGTAAGTATATGAATTTTGCATGTTTTGTTTTCAGTCTGTAACCCTATTAGTGTAAGCAGCTTTAATAATAAGATATATGCCACCAATATGGAGCTAGGCCAGGAAACAAATAAGTGTGTTCTGACCAAACTTTATACTCTTGGCTTTCTTAACCTGCTGTGCCAGTCTCCGCCACTAGTATAGAGCTGTGCCAGCCTGTACATCTGTGTAATCTGAGCAGGCTCTATACTGTTAAGAGTTTTTATTTTATTATTTTGTTCTTAGAATACTAGAGATGGTCTAATAGAATGTTATATTGGCTGCAATGAAAATATTATTGTAAAGTCTGTGACTGATCCTGGAAGTCCTATGTTTTCTCTTTTGTAAGACTTGACTGACCCTGAAAGTCCTATGTTTTCTCTTTTGTAAGACTGAGACTGATCCTGAAAGTCCTATGTTTGCTCTTTTGTAAGACTTGACTGATCCTGAAAGTCCTATGTTTTCTCTTTTGTAAGACTTGACTGACCCTGAAAGTCCTATGTTTTCTCTTTTGTAAGACTGGACTGATCCTGAAAGTCCTATGTTTGCTCTTTTGTAAGACTGGACTGACCCTGAAAGTCCTATGTTTGCTCTTTTGTAAGACTTGACTGACCCTGAAAGTCCTATGTTTTCTCTTTTGTAAGACTGGACTGATCCTGAAAGTGCTAGCTTTACTCTTTTGTAAGACAGGGCTGATCCTGATAATCTATCTTAGCCCTATTGTAAGTCATAGCTGATCATAAAAGCCCTATGCTAGCTCTATTTTAAGATGAGACTGATCCTGAAAGTGCTATGTTAGCCCTATTGTAAGATGGGACTGATACTGAAAGTCCTTTTTTTGTCCTATTGTAAGACAGGACTGATCCTAAAAATGTTGTTTGCTCTATTGTAAGACAGGACTGATCCTGAAAGTCCTAAATTAGCCCTATTGTAAGATGGGACTGATCCTGAAATTCCAGTGTTTGCCCTATTGTAAGATGGGACTGATCCTGAAAGTCCAGTGTTTGCCCTATTGTATGATGGGACAGATCCAGAAAGTCTATGTTAGTCCTATTATTAGACGTAACTGATCATAAAAGTCCTATGTAAGCCCTATTGTGACCTATTGTAAGAGAGAACTAATTCTAAAAGTCCTATGTTAGACTAATTGTAAGACAGGACTAATCTTGAAAGTCCAATGTTAACCCTTCCGTAAGATGGGAGTATTCCTGAGTCCTATGTTAGTACTTCTCAAAGAAGATCACTCCCCTCCCCGATACCATCCCCCTACAAGTGTCGTCAGTCACTTTCATATGAAAAAGTTATTAAGCTTGCCCTTTAAAGTTTTTTATTGAGGTTCTGCTGGGGGAATGGCTTGTGTCTGTGAAATAATGCACCTGTTGTCTCCCTCCTCCAGTTAAGCTATAAATTCACCATTTGACATTTACAGTGTCAGGTTTTATTTACAAAAAATAAACCAATCATTAAAAACTTAGAAGCTATAGATATAATGTTTTAACATAAGGTGTGATTTTATTACAGGATCTGAAATTAGGGAAGGGACGAGGTGCACAGAATGGAGACTCTGTTACAAATACTGCTTTTGAAGATGCCATAGGAGATGATGACCTCTAGTCAATGTCAAGGTCATTTATAAATGGTCAAGGTCATCTATGAATTGTCAAGGTCATTTATGAATGGTCAAGGTCATTTATGAATGGTCAAGGTCATTTGTCAATGGTCAAGGTCATTAATGAAAGGTCATTTATAAATGGTCAAGGTCATTTATGAATTGTCAAGGTCATTTATAAATGGTCAAGGTCATTAATGAATTGTCAAGGTCATTTATGAATGGTCAAGATCATTTATGAATGGTTGAATGGTCAATGTCATTTATGAATTGTCAAGGTCATTTATGAATGGTCAAGGTCATTTATGAATGGTCAAGGTCATTTGTAAAATTGTTTGTATGGAATAAAAAATAACAACAGAAAAATAATTTGGATTGCATTGTTTTGGTATTAAATGACTTTATGAATTTTACTTGTTTTGTATCAAATTGAAATGATTGTACTTTTTAGTTTATGATTGAAAAGAAAAATGTGTACATAAATAATCATATTTTTAGATATTGTGAAGAAAGGTATCTTTGTTATGTATGAAGTAAGAATATCATACATTTATGTTAATCTAGATATTACTTGGCCAGTATTAATAAAAAAAAATAAACTTATTTTGTTATTACTTAGAAATTAACTGTTGATAAAACTTTTCAAATTTTGCTTATCACTTTATATTAGTGAATGTAAAAATAACAAACCTGTATCTTGTTAATAATTGATAGTCTAGTTTTTCACTTGTTATTGAAAAAAAAAAAAATCAAACATTTTTGTCGTTTGAATTTTCTGTAGGCAATAGATGTAGTACCCCCCACCCACGTTATTTTGTTTGGTGGACATATTGATTGTGTCTGTTGTTTTTTTATAACAATGTCTGAAAAGATATGAGCCGCGTCACGACAAAACCAACATAGTGGGTTGGCGACCAGCTTTGATCCAGACCAGCCTGCGCATCCGCGCAGTCTGATCAGGATCCATGCTTCATCTTTGTGCGCTTACCAAAACCGTATAAACAAGTAAGAGAAACTGAATAGCGGACATCCATGGATTCCTTTATCCAGACTGGCGCGGTATGCGCAGGCTGGTCTGGATCCATGCTGGTCGCAAACCCATTATGTTGGTTTTGTCATGACACGGCTCATATACGTACTATGATCATCCTTGAGTAAAATATTTCAATTACAGAAATTTGTTGAAATCTATGAAATTCTAACCGACTATGTGTATAATTTGAATAAAAAAATGAATCAATTATGTATGGGAAAGCTGCGTTTCCCATTACAAGACAAGTAAAGTTTGTCCTTTCTTATAAAAAACTCCCTTTTTTTCTCTAATGACACTCTATATTCATATTGTGACCACCTATAGTGTGTAACATGTTAAACATAGCATATCTACTTAGTGTGAAGTGAAAACATGTTTATTTTACATTTACAAAGAGACTGTGTATCAGTTATCAATATTGTCAAATATCAAATTTGAGCATAGTATATATTTGAAGGAAAAAATAAGGTATCTTCCGAATAAGAATATTTTTGGTTTCAAGGTTTTTTCAAATATTTAATTCATCATGGACTAAATAAGACAGCTGTATCTTTTTGTATACTATACCTTGCTTTAATGATTTTGTTTGTGTGCTTTATATTGTATGTCTTTTATTGATAGATATTGAGTGTTGACTGCAAAACTGTTGTAAGTCCTTCTTTTATTTTTAATAAAAGTTACTGCAGTTACTGGTCAACCTTCAAATCAGCTTTTAAATGACTGTAACTATAAAACTGAAGGTATAAATGGTATGGTAAATGATTTTAACTGTAAAAATACTGAAGGTATAAATGGTATGGTTTATGATTGTAATTGTAAACTGAAGGTATAAATGGTATGGTTAGTGATTGTAACAGTAAACTGAAGGTATAAATTGTATGGTTAATGATTGTAACTGTAGATTATGAGAAAAAAAGTAAATAATTGTTATAGCTGTCATGGATAGAGACGGTATTGATGTATCGTTGATATTTTTCTGTTGATCAATAATTGATACACATTTGAAAAAATCGATAACTTTGATTAGTTATTTAAATGTCTATAAGTTATGAAAATTCACCCAAAACATATACAAAAGCAAATACTTAATCTAAAACTAAACTGTTGTTACATAATGGACACATTTCATAGGAGTGATGACAAAAAATGGTCTGAAAAAATATCATGCAAAGGACATTTATAAACAGGACACAACATATTTGTATGAACAGAACATGTATTTTACTAAAATCATTTAAACAGGTATGAAAGTGAATTATATACAAGAAATTAGGAATATATATCAATATATAGCCGATATTTGTCATCCGATATCTGTCATCCGATATTGATGTATCTTCAATATGCTTTGCACTGAATCATGACAGCTCTAATAATTGTAGATTTTAAATGATATTATGTACATTTATTTCGATTACTTGTTGATTAACACATATTCTATACCCAGGCATTGTAAAAAAACTCATTCAACATTCCAGTCTCCTCAATTGGTTCTAATTTTGCTAGTTCTCTATAAACATACAGCTTCTTGTTATATGAGCCGCGTCATGACAAAACCAACATAATGGGTTTGCGACCAGCATGGATCCAGACCAGCCTGCGCATCGGCGCAGTCTGATCTGGATCCATGCTGTTGGCTTACAAATCCTATAACAAGAAGAGAAACTGATAGCGAACAGCATGGATCCTGATCAGACTGTGCGGATGCACAGGCTGGTCTGGATCCATGCTGGTCGCAAACCCATTATGTTGGTTTTGTCGTGACGCGGCTCAATTATGTAGATTACAGTATATAGTTTCTTAACCCATTTTCCATGAATAAATGATAAATCATTTTTCCAGTGAATTTTGTTTATTTTTTTTTTCTATGAATTTTGTTTATTTTCATGATGTTTTCTTATTATATATTGTTATGTATACATTATATATTGTACTTGTTGTTAAAAATACGTTAATTTTTAGATATATATCTAGCCTCACCATCATTCCAAGGATTCTATCAAGATGGACTGTTTATTCACGACCAAAGTGTTTAAAAAGAGTTCATACCCTTTGTAAGGATTTTAATCCCCCAAGATAAAACTTGGATAATTAATGACTATATTAGAGACAAAAGTCTTGTTAAAGCTAAAAAATAATAACAAGGCAGCATAACCTGGTCTGTTGCTCTTATCATCGCTATAAAGTTAATATCTTATTAAGTTCATATTAGTTTTGCGGTCAAGTACAACCCTATATGAGATTAAAATGTTTTACTTGATTTTCTGAATGTTCTTAAAATAACTAAATAAGCTTCAATAAAAGTGCAATAAAACTCTGTTTATAGTTTTTATGGTGACAAAAAAATTTGAATTTAAAACACACTTGTTTTACATATCAGTTACAACAAATTACAATCTTTCTTTGCTTCATGTAAGTTTCAATAGTATCTTTGCTTTGTTTCAAGTCAGTTGCAGCAACATCTGAAATTAAGGCTAATTTCTTTTTTGTGTAGCCTTACTTACATTGAAAATATGAGAGAGAAAAAAAAATTCTTGAAATACTTTTATTGTATATATTGATATTAATGTCATTGTTTTGTACTGGTGAATTTTTGTTGTGATTTTCGGAGTGAAGAAAAATAATAGTTGCTATGCTAGGTATTTATTCACACCTATTTTAAAGATAATAGAGGCTAAGTTTGGTGGAAAAATCACATATATACACATGTAGTCTAAATGTCATGTCTGTAACAAGAGTGTCTGTTACATAATGCACATTCATAATTAACAAGAAAAAAATCTTTCCTTGACAAATATTTATTCAGCTACTGTTTTAGTAATTTTCTGGGTGATTTTGCTGAAAGGTCGGGAATGGCTTTTACAAAATAAGTTTCCACTAAATTTCAAGCAATTTTATGGTAATATATTTTGCCTTATTTTATTAATATTGTTTGCTTAGATGGAGACGTCCGTGAACAGCATTAGTTTTTTGGGCCTCCTAACTTGAACTTTTCCTGTTTAATTTAAGCTTTATATCATATAATGGAAGCTAAATTGTTTCAGTTTTATTATGCTCTCCGAAGGGAGAGCATGTAGTCGCCATCTTGTCCGTCCGTCCGTTGTCTTGTCTGGAGCATAACTTAAAAACCATGGGAGATAATTTGTTTAAACTTCATACAGTGGTAGAGGGCATTGAGGGGGAGTGCAGTGTCAAAGAACCATAAGTCTATTTTGCTAGGTTTTTGAATGATCTCCCCTTTTAGAAAAATCTTGTCCGGGAAATAACTCTAAAACTATTAGATATATCAACATGAAACTTTGTAGGTAAATAGATCTCAATTGGTAGATGTGCAGTGCACAAGAACCATTACTCTTTTTTGCCTGATTTTGGAGTTATTGCCCTTTGTTAATTTTAACACTTTGAACTTTGTCTGGAACATAACTTTAAAACTGCAAGAGATATCAACATGAAACATTGTAGATAGATATATCTCATTAAGTAGAAGTGCAGTGCAAAAGAACCATAACTCTGATAAGACTCATTTTTGAATTATCTCCCCTTTTAGAAAAATTTTGCCCGGGAAATAACTCTAAAACTGTAAGAGATATCAACATGAAACTTTGTAGGTAAATAGATCTCAATTGGACGATGTGCAGTGCACAAGAACCATAACTCTTTTTGCCTAATTTTGGAGTTATTGCCCTTTGTTAATTTTAACACTTTGAACTTTGTCTGGAACATAACTTTAAAACTGCAAGAGATATCAACATAAAACTTTGTAGGTAGATAGATCTCATTAAGTAGAAGTGGCGTCCAAAAGAACCATAACTCTGATCAGCCTCATTTTTGAATTATCTCCCCTTTTAGAAAAATCTTGTCCGGTAAATAACTCTAAAACTATAAGAGATATCAACATGAAACTTTGTAGGTAAATAGATCTCAATTGGTCGATGTGCAGTGCACAAGACCTTGAATTCCCCCTTGCCAAATTTTTTACTTTTTGCCCTTTGTTCATTTTTACATTTTGAACTTTGTCTGGGACATCACTCGGAATCCATAAGAGTTATCAACAAGAAACTTTGTAGGTTGATAGATAGCATTAATTAGAAGTGCAGTGCAAAGAACAGTTACTCTGCCTTGTCTAATTTTGGAATTTTTGCACTTTGAACATTTTCCAGGGACATAACTCTGAAACTACAAGAGGTGTACTTTTCTGTGTCCAAAACCTATTCGGGGAGCATCACCCTGCTCAAACCGGGCTCTTGTTTCTTAAAGAGGAGACTCTTGTAGCTAAACAATTTTTTTTAAACAAATGTTATTCACTCAATCAAAATAACATTCTCATGTAAATGTTTTTTTTTAATACAAGCTCTTATTTTATCATTTTTCTGACTATTTTTTTCTTAAAGGAACTCCACGAAAGTTATTTCATTTGACAGGACTTAAAATAATTTTCAAGATCCATGCTCCATTAGATGAAGGTCAAGCCCAATAACTTGTATACAAAATTTTCAGATCATTCACTCACTCCGTCTTCCCAGAATAATTATTCTAATTATTAAAAATGACCTAACATTGAAAAGTGTTGCACGGCTTTTCACTCAAACCTGGTTCAGAATAGCACAAAAGTATGATTTTCAATTTATTTCTGAGTTTATTTCCTAATTATCTTATCATATATATCTGTTTTTAGTGCCCCAGCTGATCAATGTAAGAAATTCAAATTTTATGTTTTTAGGCTTTGGTCCTCATTTGAGTACCTTTAATAACTATAATTTTATGTATCATTTTTCATGTACATTTTATCTAATATTGTAAAATTTGTAATTGAATGAAATTGCAATCGAGAATGATTTATAATTAATACCTTGTTAATTTCCCCCCTGTGAAGTCTATATTGTGTTTGTTTGTTTTTAATATAAGGGCATAATTAACTACTTATTATTCAGGTAAATTATTATGCTTGTTTTCAGGTTAGAATTGACCTGAATTATGAAGGTGAATGCATGTGCCAAACTGTCGCTGTAAATCAAATATATTAAATAAATATAGCATTAACACAACACTTGTTATCTTTTGTCCTTTATCGTATCCCTTGTCATTAATTGCCCAGAGTTGTATAGTTTTATCTTGAATAGCGAATGGTGTTACGTAGCATGCTTGTGTTCCTCTGACTTGATTGTGCATGGCCCGGTAATAATTTCATTGTTCGGTAATAATTTTTAATGATTTCATGACCGGGTATAAATACAATAACTGAATATATAGCACGGTCTAAATACAATAACCGAATACATTGAGAGTTATAAATACAATAATTGAATACATGGCCTGGTATAAATACAATAATTGAATACATTGCACAGTATAAATACAATAATTGAATACATGACCCGGTATAAATACAATAATTGAATACATGGCGCGGTATAAATACAATAACTGAATACATGGCCCAGTATAAATACAATGATTGAATACATCGCGCAGTATAAAAACAATAATTGAATACATGACCCGGTATAAATACAAATGAATACATGGCGCGGTATAAATACAATAATTGAATACATGGCGCAGTACATATACAATAATTGAATACATGACCCGATATATATACAAAATTGAATATATACATGGCACAGTATAAATACAAAATTGAAAAAATGGCGCGGTATAAATACAATAATCAAATACATGGCACGGTATATATAACATGATTGAATGCATGGCACGGTAAAAATACAATCATTGAATACATGACCCGGTATACTGGTAAATACAACAATTGAATACATGGCGCGGTATAAATTAATACAATACATGTAATTGAATACATGGCATGGTATATATACAATGATTGAATTCCTGGTGCGGTAAAAATACAATGATCGAATACATGGCGTGGTATACATACAAAATTGAATACATGGCACAGTATAAATACAATAATCGAATACATGGCGCGGTATAAATACAATGATTGAATACATGACCCGTTATAAATACAATATATTTAATGGCCATAACTCAGCCAATAAGCATTCAAGTGGAAAACCTGTGTTATATGCGCAAGTACTCAAGCTACAAATCTATCCTGTAAAAATTCACTGAAATTGCATAAGTGCTATAAGAGGAGTAGTCCTGACAAACTTTGATATCAAAATCATTAAATGGCCACAACTCTGATTGAAGATTATTGAACCGGAAAATGCCGTCGATAATTATGCACAACTAGATTCGGTTTTGATAATTCCTGCAAAGTTTGGATGAAATTACACCAGTAAATATTGAGTAGTCAGGACAAGTTTTTTGACGGACAGACGGACGACCAAGAAGTGATAAGTGAACACTATATGCGGCCAATAATCTGTAGAGGCGACCATAAAAAATGGACACGTTCGCCGAGCTGAGTAGTACAGCTCGCCATGTTTTTCGCATAGTCGAGCTAAAAATAACAACAGCAGCGACAGCAACAACAGAACAACGTTTATTTATATAATTATATAAATGAAGTCATAGGTTTTTCATATCTTGATATTTTGGGTTAGAAGAAAATTAAATGGTTTGAAGTGCAATAAAAACTTAAAAGTTAATTTCTGTTAGCCTCAAAGTAGACTTACTAAAATTTCCTTGCTTTATTTGTTTCTTTGACCTTTTGTTTGAACATTAATGTTCTTAACCATAAACTGTAAATATAATAATTATTATCATTAATATTATTATTTTTTTTATTATTATTATAATAATATAAATTTTGTGAAAAATACAATATCAAAACTTTTTTTAGATTAATAAGAACTAAGATTTACAGAACTTCTAATTTTTCTTAAATTAAAGGCCCATTATGCCCACAAATGCTTTAATTTTTATTTCTCTAAAGCTTTTTATTTTGGTGAATTTCTAGAAATTCTAAATCTTATTAATTTGGACTATTACATGAACAAATATTTCTTCTTTTTTTAGGATTTTTTGACAATTAGTAAAAATGCAGTGATTAAATAATTGTTTAGAAATCGAAATAATACTTTGTTTGCTACTTTAATGACAAATAACTTCACATTTAGCGAGATTTCCTTCAGGTTACAAAGCAAGCATCTAAAACATCAAAAGTAAACAACCCAAATATCTTTAAACAAATATAAATCATTGATAAAATGTTTGAAGCATATATATATTATGTACAAGTACAGTAAAAATTGGTCATTACAAATGTCTTTATTGATGAAATATGTCTATGAAACTGAAAATGGAATCTTTGAATTTTAAAATTCATATAAAATATAGATACTATACATGTATAATGTGAGAGTTTCTGATACTACATGATAAATCTTTATCTAAGTTCTGCCTACGATATAAATATTAGTTGATATCAAACACTTTGATATCATCATTTGACCTGTCATATATAAACATCTTCGTCTGATCATCAGATATCGCCAAGCAAATTGGTTTCTCGACACCTTTCACAGCAATAGGAAGCACCTCTCTTGTATTTGGTGCAAGCATGTTAAGTCTATCACTGATACCTTCAAAACAAACAATAACTGCTCCATCATGTGTCATAATTAGTTTTCTTGGTGATTTCGTGTCAATTTTATCCTTTACTTTCCCATCAACAGTAAACTCAACAAGAACATTTTCATAGAAACCAGACACAATGAAGCTTTTGTTGTCGAAGTTACATAAAGCTATATAAAAAGGTGATGAACAATGTTTCCGGATATCAAACTCCTTCATTATGCTCCCTTCCATGTCAAGTAGCTGAACGCATGCTGGATTGCTGAAAGATACAGCAAGAACTCCGTGACGGTAGTCGATACCTCTACAGTTCTTTCTGACCTTAATACTGTGACTTTTAGAAATACCATTTGATGTATTTATGAATAGTATTTCACCTGTTGTGTTTATTGTTACTGCGAATAATCCTGTATTGATTTTAGTAATGTCCCATGGTTGACCATCCGTTTTGAAGCTACAGGTTATCTTATTCTCTTCTATGTTTAAAAGTTTAAGACAATAATTTTTAAAATCAACAAGCAAGAGTTTGTCACATGAAATTGTGTCTATTCCTGATATTGTGCATTTCTTTGTGTCGTCTGCTGGCCTGACATGAAGTCTCTTAAACAGCGTTGTTTGAACATCTTTCAGGCTCTTTTTGCTCTGTGTACGTAACTTCCGATTTTTTTCATTAATAACACCAATGGGACATTTGTCTGTTACAAGTTTTTCTAACTCTTGAGACTTCACAAAGTCAAATATTTCGATCTCACATTTAGATGCTAGCTCCTCTGTTGAAATCTGGCAGGCTTCAATCCTTTCATGGGCAAGTTTTGTCACTATAAACATTTGATTAATCTTATCTGAATTGTTACTTATTTTGTCTAGGCATTCTCTCATTTCAGTGTCCAAAGACTCAAATTCTTTTTGCATATGCTCAAGATGAGACACTTGTTCCGATGTCAGCTGATCTATTCCTTTCAGCAGATCTGCCTCAGCATTATCCAAATATTCATTAATCTCTTGTCGAAAAATGTGAATTTCTTTCATAATTTTTTCTCTCATTTCGTCAGCAGTCTTTATGTTATTTACAATATCACCTTGGTAAGATAAAATTCTACGCAGAAAGTTTTGCGTCTTACTCTTGATTTGCACGAGTTCCTCGCAAGTATCATAGTTGTCGGATACATCATTGACGAGTTTAACAGAACACGTTTTGTGGCTAAGGACCATACAATCTCCACATCCTAATCCTACAGAATTATGGTCTTCACAATAGAAATTTACTATTTCAGTATGATGGACTGAACACAACTCAGAACATGGATCTTTTTGCTTTTTTCCTGATATTGGCATTTCATTCTTTGACTTTATCACGTGATTTTTACTCATAGCCAATTTACGATGAACCTTAAGACATTGAGAACAGATAAACTCGTTACAGGTTTCACAGAATGCTTCCGCTTCTATTGTATCACCGTCACACTCACAAGGCTGGCAAAGAACCGTAAGTTGCCTCCCTTGGTTAGATGTTGAATGTTTATCGTCCCATTCTTTACGGCCTGATACCTCCATTTTGAATTTATGAAAATCAATACCACCATGAAATCAATGTAAATCCTCTCAATTTTTAAGCTATTGATATTAAATATTTCTCGTCACGTTTGACAACGTTAACAATTGCGAAAGTAAGTTATATCCTTAAATTGTTTTTCTTTCAAACACAATAAATGTAATCCCATATTTTGTCGGCTTGTTATACATAAACAGGAAGTTTAAATATTAGGACATATTCAAGGGGGCAACATTTTGGTTAAATTTATGACCAAAATAGTTACTTTTCTTTATTTGTGAAATTATGACGGGTATCGAATTACCATGTTACGATTATAAAGATAACTATGGAAGCCCTGGAGGGACATTTTAAATTAATATTTAATACTTAAAACTTAATATGATAACAAATGAATCAAATTATCAAAATTTTAAACGTCAGAGCAATATATGAATAGAAAAGTAATGTAATATTTTGCATGTTATTGCTAATTTTAATTGAATTTTCTATTTAAGCACTATCCTTCTAGCCCGTTACATAAATAAACAGAAAAACAATATTTGTGAATTTTGACTCTGTCATGTGTATTATTATTATTATTATTATTATTATTATTATTATTATTATTATTAATATAAATGCTACAGACTTACCAATATATTTGTATTGCTTACTTGTTTGTTATCTAAGCATTTTGGTATTTCTAGCATTTTTTTTAATCTTTTTAATTCAACTAGATCTATATAAAGTATATTATTTTGTTATTGTTTTTCTGAATAAAGTGTTTTAATTTCAATTTCAAATTTTATGTTTTAATGCATTTAGACCTATGTGAAGTTCCATTAATGTAAGAAATTCAAATTCTATGTTTTTAGGCATTATGTCTTCATGGAGATATTTAAATCAAGATTATAATGTGTTCAAAAATATACTTCGCTTTGAAAAATGAACACAACAAAAAACACAAACCAACGCACACACATAGACATAAATCCAATTGAAAAAGTTTAGATTTTCCGTACATTACAATGAGTACGACCTATTCAAAATGACCTGGGAAAAGTATCAAATGATTGTGTGACCCAGAATTGACATATACAGGGATAGAACATATAAAGTATGTGAAAAAGACAATAAACTTTACCAATATACAGCAAGTATGATTGTCAATGCAAACACCCCGTCACCGTTTCCGCAATCCATGTTATATTTATAATCATCGTAAAAATCTTCGTCTTGAATGTCCCTAATAAAGTCCGGGCAGCCTACCTGTGTCTTGTGCTGACTAATACACAATCAGATAACAAATGTGGGTTTTTTTTCGCGCCAAAAATTACAAATTAATGGATTACGACCCTTCTTTGCAGTCTTACGTATTAATAGCAAAAGATCATTTTTTTCCAAAATATAAATTGATACAGGTTTTCTAAGATATGCTATACTCTCGTGGAGGCAGTACAGTCAAATTCGTGTAAGTGGGTAGGAAAGAAAACACACAAAAATATCAAATTAAAATTGTATATGTTTTTTACACAGAAAAAGGATACGTGCGTTCTATAATTTAAGAGAAAAAAGAACAAATAACTACTATAATTGATCAGAAAAAGAACAAATAAATTCTATAATTTAGCACAAAAAAGAACAAATAAATTCTATTATTTAGCAGAAAAGAAAACAAATAAATACAACAATTTAGCAGAGGGGAAAAGAACAAATATATAAATTCTATAATTTTGCAGAAAAGGACTAACAAATATATTCTATAATTAAGCAGAAAAAAGAACAAATAAATTATATAATTAAGCAGACAAAAAAAGAAAAATAAAGTATATAATTTATCAGAAAAAAGAACAAATAAATTTTATTATTTGGCAGGAAAAAAAGAAAAGAACAATTTAAATAAATTCTGATTTAGCAGAAATCTATAATTTAGCAGAAGAAAAATCATGGCACTGTTTTACAAGAATATATCAATTTCATTAAAAAATATACGGAAAAAAAGTAGAGTAAGCAAATTTAGCCATATACAGTGTAAATAAAATTCATCGTAGATAATGATAGGCCAATCTGATTATACGGGGATACAATAAAACTGCACGTTTATAACGTCACTTTTCATTGAATAATTGTGACTTTAATATAAGAGATTCACATCTTTATTCTCTTAAAAAAATGATCAGCCTATCTGTTCGGTTTATATTTCTAAACAACCGTCTATATAGGGCCATATAACTTGTAAAATTTTTATAACAATAATTTACGAGCTGCTGTCAATTTTCTAAGAAATCTCACCTTTTCTAAAAAAGGGAAGTTTGCTGTACTATAAATTCGTTATAAATATTCCTGACAGGTTATAATGACCGTACATAAACGATTGTTTGCAATATAACCCTCCGCCTAGTGGATCGGGTTCTATTTCCAAACTGCCGTTTATATAGGACCATATTACCTATCAAAATCTTTAAAACTAATAATATACTTACACTGCCTTCGTTAGGCTGTGTTAATTGCCATGTCAATTGCTGGAACTCCGGCGGTTCATTATCGTCATTAATACGCAACGTGAGCGTCTCTACGTCATAATCAACGATTCCATCGTTAACGTAACATTCAATACGGTATTCTAACTGCCCGAGTATACTCATTTCTACACAGTCTATTTCATCTTTTGTGTTAATCTCACCAGCTGATGGTTGATGATGAAACAAATAATATGAAATAACACACTAAATATATACATGTATACAAATACGACATATCTCAAGTAAAATATAATGTCGTCTTTAAAGATATAGTATGCTCACCCTTGTGTAAAATATTTAAATCGCAGATTTATTTTCAAATCTACAAAATATTTACTGAATATGTTTAATTTGAATAAAAAGATGAATAATTATGTATAGGACGCTACGTTCCATATAATAGGTAACGTGAAGATGGCCACTGCTAGTTTTTTATTAACACTATATATTCATATTGTGACCTCCTATAATGTGTTGAAATTTTATTATAACATAATTATTTTCTTTGTGTGAAGTCAAATATGAAAAACAAAATCATCAAGGAAGGGTGGCGTTCAATGAACGCAACCCGCACACGACCCAGCAACACAGGACCACCGACAAGGAACCCAGTCGCAAAAAAAAAACATGTTATATTGTATATTTACAAATAGACTGTGTAACAATAATCAATATATCAAATTTGAGCCTAGTATATCTTTAAATATAAAGAAGTACAATGTGCTACACCTTACCTGCTTAATTTGGGTATCGAATCAACCCTGCTTCAAACCATTCGAATGTTAAAGAAATAAAATTATGAAAATTGACCCACTAATAGTTTACATCCTTGCTACACAGCACTGATTTACAGGCTGTCCTACCTCTATTCAGACGGCAATGGCTAATCACAATCTGACTAAAGTTCAGACCTATTTAAGTTATTTATTACCTGTGGATTTGATTGCCACAGTATTTGTTTCGCCATCTCTGTGTTTGAAAGCTATTTTAGTTATGCAATCAAACCATCCTTTACAGACAGGCATTACAAGAAGTATCAAAATATCGCTCTCCGTGGAAGTAAAGCAAATTGCTGATTTTTTGTTAGAAAAAAATGTTTGAAGTAATTTGAAACAAATAAACTGGAAATGACTGACTCAATTTTCATTGGACAATACTGTTTTGCCAGTTTACCTGCCGGCTTAATGAACATCGCCATATTTGACTCGAAATCGTGAAGATTACCTACTCAGTATTGGTTTTCCAGCGGTAAAAATTAGAAACTGCATCGCTTTCTAAATTGTGAAAGCTCGCCGATGATTGGCTGTTTGAAAGGTGAAGAGAAAATGTTATATTGGTGCCTGTCAGATCCTAATGAGTATCTTTAATTAAGAGCTGATTTTTATCAGAATGTGGTTACAGTAGGTTAGGAGTTAATACAGGGTATAACTCATTAAAATGTTCATGGTTGGTTATTTGAACATATCATGGCACTCTAGTTATTATAGCTTATGTTAATATATATATATTGTCATAAACTCAAATATCTACATTAATCAGTGACTTTTTACCTAATATGACGTTACTGACTTTATAATCTACTTTTTATTGGCTGTAGTTATACCTGAAATTATCAATTTGTTTTTTGCTGTTGTTAAGTTGTGAATGGCAAATATTATGTTAATTGAACAATAATTGATAATGGAAATAATTTTAATAGAATATAAAACTACATGAATTATAAAAAAGACTTCCCCACTAGTTTTAAGAATGGAGCTTTTCCGAAGCATTCTGAACGATAAAATGTAATAAGCTCACCATGAACCTTTAGTTCTGTTTAACATGAATAGATTTAACTGAATCCTCGTGATTTAACTCAATACAGGATCGGAGCAATACCTCTAGACGCTTGCAGAAATCATGATCATAAATTAGACAAATATCGTTGTTTTTTCACCATCGATTCTTACATTTTGCATTAATTATCGTATATAAATTGGTGTAAGAGATGAATTAGACGTTTTAAATTTCGTTCCCTTGGGGACTCGGCCCGGTGAATTTTCGTACTATTTGTTCTATAGTAAATCAGTCAAATTTGAGGCTTAATTCTGGATTCCACTGTTCTTGATGAATTATATACTGTCTTTAACTTTAAACATTAACACTATCTAAGTCCAATGAGGCCCAAAATATAATAGGTTAGCCATCTACTTTTTTCAGAAATCTTCATTCTGTTGTAACACTGTTTAAATTCACCTCTTTAAAAACTCCTGACAGCTGGTGGGTAGTACATCTTTCATCCTTCCACCAACAAATGAGTTCCTGGAGAATACACAAAAAATAACTTTTAAAGTCATCGTATAACACACAAAAACTACACACATGCAATAAATACACTTTAATTATGACCAATTTAACTAGAGATGACTTCAACTGGGCCATTTCAAAATTTTAAAGAACTACTTTCTAGACTACAACGGGTTGGGTCTAATTCCGTACCGGGTTGAGACCTAAATGAATCCAAATTTTAACTTAATCCAAAATTTATACTCATTTCCTAGTAATTTAGTGTTATACAGGTACAATCATATAGGTTTGACATGTCTCTAACAAATAACATTAATGCAGTACAATTTCTTAAATATGAACCTTCATGCGAAAAGTCAGGCTCGGCCAATAGGATTTTACGCAAAAATTTATATTACAAATTCTGTCATATCTTTTGATTCTGTCAATGGATTTTCTTCGAATAAAGTGTAATGTTACCGGCTAATGTCATACAGTTATTTTCATGAAAGAATAACACCTTATTGCTTAAAAATTGTAATAAAAACTCCATTTCTTTAAATGGGAGCATGAAATTTTAGGTTAAAATACAAGTAATCACAATTAAATGTGCTTTTTGCATAACTTTTTCCTTCAATATTGTAATAAAACTTACTGATTATGATTTTTACCTATATACAATGGCAAATCAAGTAAAGAACCAACATACACACCCTACATTGTTTGCTTAAGATATCAATAAAGACAAACAGAGGTAATCTTAAGGTTAGCAAAGAGGTTACCATATCACCATGGCCTATGTCTTCTGACAAAGTAAGATGAGCCAACTCTCACACAAATAAGGCTTAAAAAAGATGACACATACCGTCTCCCACTTTAAATCATTGAGAAGTCTTAATATAGTCAGAATTAGAGAAATTTACTTCTGATATACATCAAAATAACTACCAAATATTGCCCGAGCATTGGGAGTCGCTACCGTCAATAGCTGAAGTTTCAAACTAGACATAAGTTATTACCTTCTCAATATGTCCTGACAAAGCTGCTGCCAAACTGAGCTGAAGGAGTCCTTCCATAGATCTTTACCAGGGTAAGGTAAGGTCCTGTACTCAAACCCAGGCTTTGGTAACTGCACGGTCTGAAAAAATATGCAACACTAGTACATGCCTAAGAAAATTATAAAAGGCATTTATGCTGTAATTCTGATATCTGAAAAAGAAAGAAAAAAATGTCTTAATTAATCAATGGCTAGATTTGCTAATTCACACAGGAGAGCCTATATAAATATTGTGTGCTGAAAAATGCATGCCTGCATGAAAATAGCAGTTTAGACATTATAGATCTAACCTAAATTAACTGATGTAGCAGCTACAACAACAACAACAACAACAACAATCATATCAACTGTGTTATTCTAAATGAGCCAATTATCCATAAAGTACACTGTTCAATGACTAGAAAATATTTTATGTGTCTATATTAATAGCAAATACATTCTGCAACACAGCAAAACATCAAGTTTCACTACACTGAAAATGCCTGTATTTCCAAATTTATAAATCACATTTGTCCTGTTCAATAAAATGTCAGTTCTGCTTCATTGAAATACAAGAAAATTGTGAATATTTACATACTGATTACTACAGCATCAATCCTTTGCTGAAACATCAAAACATAAAATGTGTGGTCCATATGAGCAATAGGCTACTATGGTGCTTGTTCGAATCCCATGGCCGTGGCTTCTTGGGCCCCTTAGAGATCTCTGGAATGAGCTTGCCAATCACTTTTTTTTACCAATGTAACCAATCTGAAACCACACACTCCCCATTTCCTTGCAATGCATAATTTATCCATAATTTAAGATGCATTTCTCTAAAAAATATCATTTTCTATATAAATCTTATAAAAATAAGCAAGATTTATAATATATTGCTAAACACAGGGTGCAAAAGTAAAATTTATCAATTTATAAACTGCTTTTTACAAAATTTAAATTTCATTTTTTAATTCTAAATTTATCTTTACAGTTTTAATTCAATAAAATGTGGTTAATCTTTCATGCAAAAGCTCTGTACCCTTCTCCCTGCTTACTGACACAGTAGCAGACATCTACATTTGAAGGGGAGATAACAATAACAACATATATGTCCCAATTTAAAATGTCAAAATTTGAAATAAAATTTAAAATTTTCAAACCTGTCAGTTATCCTTTATTTTCCTGACTTCTTTTCATAAACACATCACTGATGCACAGTTTCATCCATATCCATCAACCAGTTCCAATTTTTCTTATTTCTTATCTAGGACTCGGCCCGGTGAATTTTCGTACTATTTGTTCTATAGTAAATCAGTCAAATTTGAGGCTTAATTCTGGATTCCACTGTTCTTGATGAATTATATACTGTCTTCAACTTTAAACATTAACACTATCTAAGTCCAATGAGGCCCAAAATATAATAGGTTAGCCATCTACTTTTTTTCAGAAATCTTCATTCTGTTGTAACACTGTTTAAATTCACCTCTTTAAAAACTCCTGACAGCTGGTGGGTAGTACATCTTTAATCCTTCCACCAACAAATGAGTTCCTGGAGAATACACAAAAAATAACTTTTAAAGTCATCGTATAACACACAAAAACTACACACATGCAATAAATACACTTTAATTATGACCAATTTAACTAGAGATGACTTCAACTGGGCCATTTCAAAATTTTAAAGAACTACTTTCTAGACTACAACGGGTTGGGTCTTATTCCGTACCGGGTTGAGACCTTGGGTGAAACATTTGCATTGACCGGTATATACCGGAATACGGTATTAAGTGTGGTGCACCAATCTCACTAAACATAAATAATAGACTGGTCCCCCGCACACTTCTAAAAACGTTTTCGGAGTCATTGATTTCCCTTATATGTCCCTTATATGCAATGACAACCAGTAATGTTTTTACGCATGCATTATTTCAGATACAAATATGAACTTGTGATATCAGTTTTAGGTTTAAATTTTATATCTGCTTTTGTTTATAGATTGCAATACTACTAATATTATTATGTTTCTGATCATAGAGAGCTTAATAAACAGGTGAGCGATTTCAGGGTCACCATGCACTCTTACTTATATATGTTGTCTAAATGCCGTGTCTGTAACAAGTGTGTCTTGCCACGTAATGCGCATTCATTATATAAGAAAACAGGAAAACAAACTTTCCGCTACTGTGTTAGTAAATTTAGTTAGAATTTTTGTTAAACGGGAAAAGGGGCTCTCAAAAAATTATTTTTCACTAAATTTTCAAGAAAATTTTATGCATTTTTTTGCCTTTTTTATCAATTTTTGTTTATTTTTAGGGGAAAACCCCCCAGTAAAACTTTAATTATTTTTTTATTCTAACTGCTAATTTTTGGTTTTTTTCCATCAATTTTTAGTTTAATATGATGCGATAGAAAGTAAATTGTCTGTTTTGCTTTTTCAGAGGTGACTTTGGTAACTAAAAAAATGTTCTTAAACAAACATTATTCAGCCAATCAAAATAACTTTCTCATGTAAATGTTTCTTTTCTTACAACCTTTCAATTTTATCATTTTCCTGACTACTGTTTTTAAGGGACTCTACGGAGGTATATGACATGACAGGACAGGAATTGTTTTTCGAGATTAATGTTCCATTATATATAGGTCTAGCCCAATAACTTGTATACAAACTTTCAGATCATTCACTTAATCTGTTTTCCCAGGATATTTATTGTAATTGTTAAAAATGGCTCATCAAAGAGCGTTGCGAGGCTTTTCATTCAAATCAGGCTAAGAATAACACAAAAAATACGATTTTAATCAGTTTTATTTCCGAGTATATTTCTGAACTATCTTTTGTACATATTTCTGTTTCAAGTGCTCCCAGTTGATTAATGTAAGAAATTCAAATTTTATGTTTTTAGGCTTTTGGTCCTCAATGGAGTACCTTTACTAACTACATTTAACATTTTTCATGTACATTTTATCTAACAGTGTAAAATTTGTATTTGAATGAAATTGCAATCGAGAATATAAATTATAATTTCTTGTTGATTTTGCCCCTGTGAAGTATATATTGTGTTTGTTTGTTTTTAAAATAAGGGCATACTTAATTACTTATTATTCAGATAAATTATTATGCTTGTTTTCAGGTCAGAATTGACCTGAATCATGATGGTGAATTCATGAGCCAAACTGTCGCTGTAATTCAACTATATTAAATAAATATAGCATTAAAAGAACGCTCGTTATCTTTGTCCTTTATCGTATCCGTTGCCATTACTTGCCCACAGTGGTATTGTTATATTGTTATGCAAAATCAATTTGAAGCAAATGGTGTTACAAAGCATGTTTACTGTGGTTTTAGAGCTTGTGTTCCTCTGGCATTTTCTGACTTGATTGTGCTTGGCCCGTAATGACCCATTTTAAATGATTACATGGCTCGAATTAAACGCAGTAATACAGATTTTTAAATGATTACATGAACCGGTATAAATACAATACGCAAGGGCCATTACTCAGCCAAAAATCATTCAAGTTGAAAACCCGTATTATATGCGCAAGTACTCTATCTATCCGATAACAAATAACCGAAATTGCTTAGGTTCTATAAGAGGAGTATTTCAGACAAACTTTGATATCAAAATAATTAAAGGGCCACAACTCTGATTAAAAATCATTGAACCGGAAAATACCGTCGATATGCACAACTAGACTCGGTATTGATCATTCCTGTAAAGTTTTGATGAAATTACACCAGTAAGTTTTGAGGAGTAGTCAGGACAAGTTTTGTGACGGACAGACAGACAGACAGACTACGAAGAAGTGATAAGTGATCACTAGTGTCGACAATTCTCTGTAGAGGCGACCAAAAAAAAATGGACACGGACGCTGAGGTGAGTAGTGCAGCTTGCCATGTTTTCGTATAGTCGAGCTAAAAACAACAAAACAGCAACAGCAACAACGTTTATTTAGTTATCATGCCGACACAATAATAGTTGGTGTGACAACCAGTCTGTCATATCAAAATAGTCATAGGTTTTTCATTTTTGTTTAAAAGAAAATTAAATCATTTAAAGTGCATTAAAAACTAACAAGTTAATTTCCATTAGCCTCGAAGTAGAGTTATTAAAATTTCCTTTCTTTATTTTTTTCTTTTACCTTTTGTTTGAACATTAATGTTCTTAAACATAAACTAGAAATACATGTACACACACGTAACAAATACATAAACGAAAGAAATAATAAATGACCAAAGGAACGGATTTAAATAAATTTCAAATGAATTAACTTATTCGTCCATCCAACCAGATAGATAAGTAACCTCAGTAATTCGAAATTCAACGACCTTCGACCCTATTTCATAATGATCCGTATTTGTCGTAATACTTCAGGCCACTCATGCTCCAGAAATGTTTTTATTTTACATTCTGAAAAACCTTTTATTTTTGATGTCCTGTTTTTGTTTCCATAAAGTTTCTCATTGACCAATTACTAGAACCTTGTTTCATTTCTATGGCTTTCTGAAAATTAATGCAATTATAGTAATTTAGAATTTTAACATAACTTTGTTTACATTTGGCAACATTTATGACAATTTGTTTGCAGTGCTACTCTCATCGGTGATAAGCATCTATCATGATCTAAAATCGATATTTAAACACGATAAAATTCATATTTGCCCCTTCTAAAGATTGAAAAAAATATTTGTGTCTGAGGCATAGTGTGCCTTTAAATAATGGTCGGTATGAAAATCATAAAAATACACATAATTATGCTTAATTACATATCTACTAGTGGTCAGTTAGCAGATACATGTAGTATCATTGTAATAATTACAATATCACAATGTTAATGTTTCATGAGAAATGTGTTTATACAATTATGTTCTTCCTTGTACACCATAGTTTCAAAAAAGTCGTCAGTTCATCCATGAGCTGTTATTTAGGGGAATATCTTGACCAAGATTGGCCTTTTCACGTGCCCAATAACTGAAAATATAACAGGTATTTTTAGCTTGTTTAAAAAAGGAAAATATTACTGTATGTAGAAGATATGATCATAAACAAATTCCTGACAAGGTAAACTTGAAACATTGTGTCTTATTATAATGATAAATTTGTCAGTTTAGTTGCAAACTTCAACTACCACAGTCCTGAACACGCCGCTATGCCAGGATGGTTTTATAACGTTTATGTACTGGACAAAAATGACGTTATTCAACAGAAAAGTATTGTTATGTATCGATACACTTCCTTTTTGCAGGCTATGATATTTGAAGATGATACCTCAAATACATTCTGAGAAAAAAAATGTGTCTGTGCAAAGGCTATAGAGATCACGCTAAAGAGACTAATGGTTTTACTTTAGAGTTAATTATTAACGCGTTAACTGTATAAAAGAAAGAAAAATACTTTCCATATATACATACTTATGCATCAATAAATCGCCGTTTAACATTTGAGCCGGTTTTGGAGGCGGTGTCACTACCTTTTGAACAGTTTGCACAACAGGGGTAGCAACCTTTTGTACAGGTGTTTGAACAAGTTTTACCGGCTTCACAACCTTTTTCACCACTTGCCGCTGAACGGGGACAGCTGTAAAATTAACATGTGTTTGTAATTTAAAGCTATTTTAATCAGTTCTGCAACTAGTACTGGTCAACTGATTAACATCCTGTCATATTGACAAGAAGGTCACGTGAATATCTAATATACTTTAAATATGTAGAACCAACTGTTTCCGTGGTGTAGTGGTTATCACATCCGCTTAACACGCGGAAGGTCCTGAGTTCAATCCTCAGCGGAAACATTCTTTTTCATTATTTACTTTTGAAATGTATAACTTTATAGGGTAAATGAGCTCGTTAACTCTCATGTACAATAATGTATATATAATTAATTTCTAAAATCACGTCTGTAACAAATATATACAGAACAGCCTCCGTGGCCTAATGGATAAGTCATCGGCCTCCTAAGCCGGGGATTGCGGGTTCGAGTCCCGCCGGAGGGTTTTTATGAAGCCTTTTGACATATTCTTGGGATTTTCAGAAACAAATTTAAGTATCCATGGATCTTCTAATCTATATTGATTATATTGTCAGTAAATTGTATTGCACAAACGTTATTTGATTATTGTATCATAGTTTGGGCACATTTCTTTTGAGTTAAATCGTATAAATATACATGAACAGTGCGTTAATTGGAGTGAAGCGCACTCCATACCAAGCCCATTGATTGGCTCATTTGCTGGGGTTTACTTATTGTGATGGCAGAGAAAGGGAAAGCGACAGAAATATCACATTCAGATGCTCGTTCAATGGTTAACTTTTTTTCTTGGGTTTCATTTTGTGACAACAGGGTACGTGATTTTATGTTTGTCTATGATATAAAAGAGAAAGATCATCAAAACACTCAGCAATCTGATTTATACTGTACAAATCTTGTATGCTCGTGTTTTGATGCTCTTTCTATTACTTGTAATTCTAATATTATTTGATTACTATAAAAGTTATAATTGTTAACCCATTACCGCATGAGCATTTTGTGAAAAATGGCTGATTTCATTGAAAAGTCTCCCGTTACAGGTTCAAGCTGCTATAAAACTATAAAAACTGCTTCAATACTAATCAAACTTGGCACAAATGTTGACTGGACCATTGCCTTTGTAACAACAACATGCTCAGTCTTAATTTCCTGTTACCATGGCAACTAGGGTACATCTCAAAATTGCCAAAAAATCACTATTTTGCGTTGATTTTTTCCATCAAAATTGATTTCAAATGCCACTTCCAAAGGGCTTGAGATAGAGTCAAAGGCTTTTCAGCATTGGTTACACGTTACCTTATGATCGACCTGGGGTCATTTTTAGCCTCACACAAGTCCAAAACTTTCTTGGCGATGAGAGGGACTACCGCCCCCTTCAAACCCCCCAAACATAAGGGGCACACCCCCCTTCTGGCAACCCACTGATGTATCTTTTGGATGGAAGACGGCACCGAAAAAGTGGTCACGTTTTTAAACAACATTTCTCAAACAAATACAAGTGTTGGGGCGTAAATAAAAAGGCATTTTTTCACCATTTGAGAGAGCCAAAGGGGGGGGGTGAAAAAGGCGTAGAAAGGCGTATACATGTATATCTGGTAATGGGTTAAACAGAAAATGATGAAAATACATGAAATTACCCAAAAACGGGGTTTTCCATGTTAAAACATGGCCTAGTATATAATTTTAAAGATTGTTGTTTTGTAGAATTTTTTATTTTTTTCATTTACAGAAAATGATGAAAATACCTGATATTACCCAAAAACGCGTTTTTCCATGTTAAAACATGGCCTAACATATAATTTTGTAGAAAAATTGTTGTTTTGTAGAATTTTTTATTTTTTTCATTTATAATAGTCTCTGTAGCCATGCACTTTACAACAAATGCTTTCTAAAACCTCTGGCTAATATAACAAGATGAAATATTTCAGCATGTTTCATTTGTCCTTTAATTTGTGTAATAACAAATAATGAAGTTTATAAATGTGCTGCATATTGAGAAATGGAAAAAAGGATGATTTTAACAACATTTCAAAGACACTATTAACAGTTTGATATTGTTACAGGTGTACAACTAAATGTCAAGCACTTAAGGACACCTCATTTATCATTACAGACATAAACTCAGAATATCTGACATTTTTGGAACAAATGTAATGAAGTGATGTTAAAACTACAGTTGTTGCTAACTAATTCTTCAAATATATTTCAAATATGTTGTCTTAGGTAAAACAATGTTAGTTATGAAATTCGTTTTTTTTATAAACCCATTATGGGGATAACCACAAGATTACCATTTATCATACTTTATGAAAATGTCGTTTATTATAAAAACAACATGCTAAAATGCTCTGATTTTAAATGTATTTTGTTGTGAATAACCCCAAATATTTTAAAACAATTTTTAAAAATCATTAAAATTTTTTAAAGCATTATGTATTATTAATTATATTAAAAAAATGGTCATTCAATTGCTTTTTATGAATATGTTTTAAAATAAAATGGAAATCTTTGAATTTTAAGTTTATAAAATTAATACGTATACATGTTAACGTAATTTTCGAAATTCTTTTTAACCTTTATCGGGTTTTCCTACGATATTAAATATCAATTTTTTCAAAATTTTTATAAATCGTTTATTTCAAAAAAACTTTTTGTCTATATAGAATCGCAATGAACGGGGTTTTCGACCCCTTTCACGAAATGGAGTCACTTTTGTTTTTGGTAACCATTTAAGTCTATAAAAATCCTTCCAACAAAAAATAATTTTCCTAGTTATAAAAGTTTTTTAAATTTTATTAAATCTTTTTTATTTATTTTTTTTTCCCTAACAGAAAAACTCTAAAGCTTTTTTTAAGTATAAAAATGAGCTTTTGTTGTCTTTTTAATGAAGCTATATAATGGGGAAAAACATAACAATGTCCCCGGGATATCAACTCTTTATAGTTTCCTTTCATGTAAAGTGCTAAACCCCTGTTTTCGAACGATAAAAAAAAGAACTCCGTAGGTAGTCACCTGTACGTTCTTTCTGCCCTTAATACGTCTTTTAGAAATTTCATTTGATGTATTTACGAATAGTATTTCACCTGTTGAGATTATAGTTACTGCGAATAAGCCTGAATTGATTGTAGTAATATCCCATGGATGACCATCTGTTTTATATATACAGCTTATCTTATTCTCTTCTACCTTTAAAAGTTTTAGACAATAATTATCACAATCAACAAGCAAAAGTTCATTACATGAAATTATTGCCATTCCTGTTATTAAGCATTTCTCTCTGTCGTCTGCTGACCTGATATGAAGACTCTTTATTAGCGTTGTTTGAACATCTTTCAGGCTCTTTTTGTTGTGTGTACGTAACTTCCGCTTTTTCTCATTGATAACACCAATGGGACGTTTGTCCGTTACAAGTTTTTCTTACTCTTGAGACTTTACAAAGTCAAATATTTCAATATCATATTTAGACGCTAGCTGCTCGGTTGAAATCTGGCAGGCTTCAATCTTTTCATGAGCAAGTTTTGCTGTTACAAACAATTGATTTATCTTATCTGAATTTTTACTTATTTTGTCTTGACATTCTCTCATCTCAGTTTCCATTGACTTAAATTCTTTTTCCATTTCCCCAAGCTGTGACACTTGTTTCGATGTCAGCTGATCTATTCGTTTTATCAGATCTGCCTCAGTATTGTCCAAATATTCGTTAATCTCTTGTCGAAAAATGTGTATTTCTTTCATAATTTTTTCTCTCATTACTTCAGCAGTCTTTATTTCATTTACAATATCACCTTGGTAAGATGAAATTCTACGGAGGAAGGTTTCCGTCTTTTTCTTGATTTGCACGAGTTCCTCACAGGTATCATAGGTGTCGGATACATCACTGACGAGTTTAACAGAGCACGTTTTGTGGCTAAGGACAATACAATCTCCGCATCCTACAGAATTATGGTATTCACAATAGAACTTTATTATTTCAGTATGATGGACTAAACATAACTCCGAACATGGATCTTTTTGCTTTCTCCTTGTTATTGGCATTTCATTCTTCGACTTGATCACGTGATTTTTTAGTCATAGCCAATTTACGATGAACCTTTAGACATGGAGAACAGATGAATCGTTACAAGTTTCACAGACGCCTCCGCTTCTATTGTATCACCGTCACACTTTACAAGGCTGGCAAAGAACTGTAAGTTTCCCTCCCTTGGTTAGATGTTGACTGTTTATCGTCCCATTCCTTACGGGCCTGATACTTCCATTTTGAATTTATGAAAATCAATCTTTATACCACAATGAAAATCAATGTGAATCCTCTCAAAGTTTTAAGTTATGATATAAAATGTTGCTCGTCACGTTTGACAACGTTAACAACTGCGATAGTAAGATAAATCCTTTCATTGTTTCTATTTCAAAACCTGATAAATGTAATCTGTTTGATGTAAAGTTTA